CTCGCTCGAGTTTTAGGGTTTTAGGGCTTTAGGGGTTTAGGGTTTTAGGGCTTTAGGGTTTTAGGGTTTTAGGGTTTAGGGCTTTAGGGTTTAGGGTTGACAATAGTTACTAAGATCATTCCGGGGGCCTTGGTCCCGTGTGAAGCCCGTAAAGTGATGGTATACCCAAAGGCCCCACAGTAGTTCCTTTTTGGGATGACCTTATAGGGTTCTATATATGAACCCCAAAAAGGAACCTTTTGTGGTGCCCTTATCGTGCCTTTATAGTACCCGGAGAATTTCAATAAACAGGTGGTAGTGCCCTTATAGATCCTTCTACTTGTACGTACCTTTAGGTACCTTTAGAGCATACCCTACGCACAAGCCTAATCTCATTTGTCAGTTTCCATGGCGGCCTTCACGCAGTCGTCGAATACTTGAGAAGTTCAATCTATGCTTGAACCCTGGGAAAATTCTGCATGTTAAGAGCTCCATATCATGATCTCTTCGTATACGTTCTTCATACAGGTCCCCGCCGGTAGGCAGCACAAAAAGAGGCCGGGGCGCCGATGGAAAGTTTTCCAAACAGTCTTGAAGAGCTCCACACCATGTTCCTGCAAAGGTGGCTTTTGTTGCCTTTCCTTGCCGTCCGCTATGCGGGAGCACATCGCCTCCGACGCTGTCTGGCGGGCAGGGGTGTAGGTTCAACATGGTCTAACCTAAGTTTTACAGAGCCGCGACTGGTCTGTCGAATTCAATTCATGCTGCAACGGATTTCAAGGATGTGCAGCCCCTGTTGGCGAAGTGGCTGGTAGAGCAGGATGTTAGATGGCAGTTTTGGAATACGGTGGATGGTCTGTGGCAGGGTTGAACATAGTGAAAAGTTTCACACCCCTTTGTAAGCTCGAGACTCGAGAACCCTATCCGACAGCCTTATCTTGTTGAGATTGTTTAGGTTTTCCCAGTCATCTTTATTCGGCGTTAGTCGTTTCATGGCGCTCTGTGCTGTTGATACGGGAGACAAGTTCTAAAGTTTACACTTGTTATTTAGTGAAGCTACGGGGTGACCACTTTCGACCGACTCATCTGTGAATCACGAGCTTCTAGCAACACCTTTTCAGCAATCCAGCTCTTTGTCGGGGGTGTTGCAAGCAGGGTTTGTTTCCTGGAGTCTAGGTGTAGGGTTCAGAGTCTTGGAAGGTGGATACGGGAAATTCCGGCAGCGCTTGTACATGGGGTGTCTCAGAAGGTGTGCTGTCGCTGCAAGGCACTCGTTCCGACCACAGGTTCACGTTTCACGCTCTGTTGTGTGCACGCATTGTTATGGGTCACACCCTGTATCCAGCCTACTTGTATCTCTACTGCTTGAAGCCCAGACTCTATCGCGAAGGCCTGCAGAGAATCCAGACACTTTACCCAGTCTTCCTGAAGGCGAATGGCTGCATGTCGGGCTCAGGAAACTGATAGAGCTTGGGGATGATTGGTTATTTGTCGGCCTTGCAGTATTTGTGGGTTTGGCTTGCGGGAGTACCAGTTTTTGGTTTGAGGGATGGCTTTTCCGCACTCTCTGGAGCATAATTCCAGCACATCCTGTGCAAGGATAGATCTGCGGATCATTTGCTGACCGTCTTTAGAGTGAGCCCGTTAGCCGGAGCCGATACCTTAAAACGAATCGACTACAAGTTGAGTTGAATTCATCATTGCTCTGGAGCTTAAAGGCCAATACGGGAATTACGGGATATTGCGAACCCTGGTTCGCAAAGGTTTAGGGCAGAGCGAAGGCTAGTCTTTGCAGCTGCTTCGGGGTTAGTTCTTGTGTATGATTGAGGTATATGTATGTATGTATGTATGTACGTACGAACGTATGTACATGCGCACGTCCGTACGTAGCCATGTATGTATGTATGTATGTATGTATGTACGTACGAACGTATGTACGTGCGCACGTCCGTACGTAGCCATGTAAGTATGTATGTATGTATGTACGTACGAACGTATGTACGTGCGCACGTCCGTACGTAGCCATGTAAGTATGTTTGTATGTATGTATGTATGTATGTATGTATGTATGTATGTATGTGTGTATGCATGTAGTCTGAAGATTGTAAGTCGGCTTCCAAGACCGGTGGAAATTCTAGTTGGAAGCCTGCGTGCAACCTACTGACTATGACATGACCGTTCTACACACCTGACACTCGAACATCGGAGTTTCGATGAGTTCGCGATCCCTTAGTAGCTGTAAGGTGCTGTAAGCACCTTACAGAAATTCAAAACCCTGTTGGCTTAAACTCCCCTCAACGCCAACACCTATACACTCCAACCGCAAACTCCAAAACCCAGTCGGCAAACCCCAAGCCCAGAACCTCTAAACCACCAAACCCGACCCAACCAAATCCGCAACCCCCAAGCTCCAACATCCTTAAAGAAGACCCAAAGCTAAGCCTCAGAAGTTTCTCTGCATTGAACCCCAGATCAAGCCGGAGCAGACGAAACGAAGAGCTGCTAACATGCAGGGGTCTGAATACTTAACAAACCCTATTTCACCTTAAACCCTAAACCCTATTGCACTTAACCATTATATAAAGGCCCCTACAGTAGAGCTTCTAGGCTTCGAGGGCGCGGAGTTGATTTCAGACTTCACAGTTGTGAGGAGTTTGGGTTTCAGCAATTAGGGTTGTAGGGTTTAGGGTTACCGCTTTCAGGGTTTAGGGTCGCAGGGTTGAGGGTTTCAGGGTTTAGGGTTTAGGGTCGAGATTTGATGTTCTACAGGGCCGTTGGCTTGAATGTTTGATGAGAGGCAATCTTCTCCTGGGTGCTGGACACCTGCAGCGCATCCGGCAACCTTTCGACCAGGCAGACATGATGAAATTGGCCCAACTGGGTTAGACCAACTTCGCTTGGAGGGGTTTGCCGTCCAGGGCTGTTACTATAGCGGCCTAGATACATACCAACACATTTTTTTTGTTTGGGGGGGATTCTTATTGTAGTTACAGTATAATAGAACCTTAAAACTTATCCTAATTATTAAGGCCCCTAATATACAACCCCATCATAGATCCCTCAAAGAACCCTTTCAAGATCCCTTTAAAGGAGCCTTTTTGAAATTCTTAAGGCCCCTATATTGCCTTGAGGGCGCAAGGTTAGGCCTACGTGCGGACGTCTGGGCGGCTCGCCTTTTTAGGTCGATGACGGTCGATGCTCCTGTCTTCTGGGCTCGCAGGTTCAGGGTTTAGGGGTTCAGGATTTAGGGTTTAGGGGTTATGGGTTTAGGGTGTAGGGGTTATGGGTTCAGGGTTTAGGGGTTATGGGTTTAGGGTTTAGGGGTTATGGATTTAGGGTTTGGGGGTTATGGGTTCAGGGTTTAGGGGTTTAGGGTTTAGGGGTTATGGGTTTAGGGTTTGGGGGTTTAGGGGTGTAGCATTTACGGTTTACGGTTTACGGGCTTCGGGTCATTAATGGTTATGCACCCACCGGGTACACTTTTCAGTGTCCTTGAGCCTTCGTCTGCTTGCTGGGTCTGCCTTTGAACCAGGTTTCACCATCCTCATGGTTCAGGGTTTAGGGTATAGGGTTTAGGGCCTAGGGTTTAGGGTATCGGGTTTAGGTTTTAGGGTATAGGGTCTAGGGTATCGGGTTTAGGGATTAGGGTATAGGGTTTAGGGTTTAGGGTATCGGGTTTAGAGTTTAGGATAGCGGGTTTAGGGTTTAGGGTTCAGGGCTCGTTAACAGGGCGCTCTCCCAACAAAGGGGCCCAGAATGAAAGGAATGCCTTGGCCCTATGCTTTTCTGAGTGATGAAGAAGGTCCCAAGACGATCCCCAAACTTGCCTGCTTGGAGGTTCATGGGTAGCTATAAATGGGGTTATAAGTAGGGTAGCCATAATTATAACCCGTATTAGGGGACTTATAGCCATACTTCTAACTACCCATGAACCTCCAAGTGCCCCCCCAAACCCAAATCTTTGAGTCGACAGCAGAAGCCTCGCAGCAGGCTCCAGGCGACGTCAGCCGCTTCAGACGGCAAGCCAAGAGTCGCGTTTGGCCGACTCGCTTTGATGCATTTCACTAGAGTCACTAGAAGCTTCAGGTGAATCTTGCAAAGAGGACAGAAAGGATTCGTCAGAGACAGTCCTCGGGGAGTACGATGTTGGAGAGATGATGACAAGAAGGTGAATCGTGAAGAGACTAACGAAAAGCCTCGTCAGCAGGTGATGTGGTGTTACGACAACGGTTAGGATGATGCTGCTGCTGCTGATGATGATGGTGGTGGTGCTGATTATGATGATTATGAAGATTATGATGACTATGATGATGATGGCGATGATGGTGGTTGTGGTGCGTGTGATGATACTGTTTCGTTGCTGGTGCTGATGCGATAGCGAAGAAGATGGGAAGATGATGCCGCAGAAGAAGATAATATTGCTATCAGACCATGATAAAGGTAAGAGCCTGGAAATGTCAAAGGTGTTGGTAACGGTAACTACATGTAGCCATGGCAGTCGCGATGGTGATGATGATGATGATGATGATGATGATGATTATGATGGTGTTGATGATGAGGAGCATGAGGATGAGGAAGAGGAAATGATCGGGACGAGGATGGATGCTGATGATGAGGAGGAGAAGGGTGAGGATGAGGAGGAGAATATGATAAGGACGAGGACGAAGATGATGATGATGAGGAGGAGGATGAGGAGGATGAGGATGAGGACGAGAAGGATGAGGAGGAGGAGGATAGTGATGATGTTGTTGGTGGTGGTGGCGACGTGAGAATGAAGAAGATGGGAAGATAATGACGAGCGAACGCCCGGAAGCCTAAACCCTAAACCCTGTGACTGGAGCTAATTTTAGGGGCCTAAATAATTACCCATACTATTTTGGGAGTTCCTTCTTATACTTATGGTCTAATGGGACCCAGAACCCTATACTAATTATTAAGGCCCCTTTCTTACCTCAAAGTCTGCGCCGCCAGACCTACCACCAGCAGCTGGCCCAGATCAGTTGGCGGGCGTAGAGGGTTTAGGGGCCCCTGAGGCTGTCTGCAGAGTCTAGGGCGCAGTCTAGAGTCTAGGCTTTAGGGCTTAGTGCTTATATAACATGGGGTTCCCAACATGATTTTACTTTCGCAAGCATGCAGGGCAGCTGATTCTGGCCGTGCGAGTCCGGGCTTGCACTTCTTTGTGTGCCAACAAGATTGCTTTCATGACTGATCCAAGGGAAAACATATGCTTTCATGTCAAGTAACTAAGTTCTCATTTAAAGAGGATCCCAAGCACAGATTTCCAACCAAAAAGGGAACTGCATGGAGAGGAAAAGCAAGACTGAGATGGTAAGGCCAGTCGAAGTTGTTGAACCAGTCCAAGATCAGCTGTTGCCATCTGTTTGATACCTGGCTTTTCAGGTTCAGAGTTCAGGGAGGTGCCACCGGCAGGGAGCTTTATGCGAATTGGCCAATTTCCCGAAATCCCACAGCCCTAAACCCTAAACCCTAAACCCTTAAACCCTTAAACCCTTAAACCCTTAAACCCCAAAGCCTGAAGCGCCCAAACCTTAACACCCTCATCCTTACAACACTCTCCAGCACCTTTGTTTAAACCTCAGCCTCCGAACAACACCACCTTGAAGCTCTTAACCACAAGCGCCGAACAAGGCCTAAACTAAGCCCCAAAGCACCTGTAGCTGCCCTCAGGTTCTTCTCTAAACTGTAGAATCCCGCTTTGACAGTGATTGAAAACAGTTCTAGAATCCTAAACCCTCAGCCAGCACTAAACCCTAAATCCTGAACCTCAAAACTCTTCGAAAAGGCTCCCGTCGCTGCCTTCAGGTTCTTCTACTTGCTCCGGGCCACGGAGCCCTTCGACGTAGTGGCCGTGTCGCCGGAATGGTGCCCCAGGGCGGTTTTGGGTCTTAGGGCCTTTGGGGTTTAGGGGTTTAGGGTTCGTCCTCGCACCGGCTGGCTGTCAACCTTTGCACCGGCGCAAGTACATAGTTTCAGGCTGCAGCCCTTTGACAGACGACTCTGTGAGGACAACTTTCAAGATTGGAGCCCTGACGGGTTTCCCTCGAGATACGACGTGGATCAAGGAAGCCCTAAACCCTAAACCCTAAACCCTAAACCCTAAGAGAGTATCAGCCTACCTTGTGCTGCATGTCTTCCACGATTCTGCGAAGGACGGATCCCCAGTGAAGCCTCGCGATTCTAGACCCGAAGCACTACTTATAGGCCCCATGTAGTTCCTTTTTGGGATTACCTTATAGGATTCTAGATATGAACCCCAAAGAGGAAGTACTTTGGGGCCTATGGGTAAGCTCAACTTCGCGGTAGTCCCAACCCTAAACTCGCAAGGTGCATCACCATCAACGGCCGCTTTAGCCAGCATTGGTCGCAGGCCGGAGACAAAGTCTGCGAAGGTCGAGGATGGGTTTGCACATTGAGTGGATTTAGTCTAAGGCTAAGGTTGAACCCATGGGCCCCTAACATGGTATATAGTAGGTATATTAGGGTCCCAGGGTTAAGGGCCCATACTAGGGGCCCATGGGTTCTACCTTAGATTTAAGGCAGAGAATGGCTTAGGCTTGTGACCGGAAAGATCTTGCAAGTTTGAGTTGGAAGTAGCCCTGATGTGATTAGGGTTAGCGACGTTTTTGGGACAGAGAGCTTTTGCAGAGAGAGCTTTCGCAGAATCGTGCTGGACATTTCGTTCGATAAACCTTCGCAGTTGAGCTTGGGTAGCCATACGATACATACTGCACAACTTGGAGCGACATAGCACTGATGCTGGAGCACTCAACATACAGTAAGCTATGGAGGCATGGAGGTGTACATGATGTTAGAAGGCGGCTTCGCAGACTTGATACAGCTGTACTCTAAGCATGTCGGATGCAATACTGACACGCGACAGTCGATAGTACCCTAGGCCCTAAACCCTAAACCCGTAAGTTGTGCGTAGTGAACCCACAGGTCATGGTGCTTCTGGATCGTCCGTGTGGCATCTTGCATAAACCCTAAACCCTAAAACCCACACGATTTCGAGAGCATCAGGTCCTCCAGCCTGGTGAGGAGGCACTGGTGTCGAGGGCTGCGATAAATTTAATGTAGGGGCCTTAATAATTAAAATAGGGTTTCGGGGTACATTATACTATAATTACAATAAGGGACCCCCACATCCCTATTCTAATTATTAAGGCCCCTGCATTCCGTTTAGAGTTGCGGTTTAAGGTTTGAGGTTAGGGTTATAGGTCCTTGGGTTTAGATTTAGAGTGGGGTCAGGGTGACGCATGAACTGCCACGGCAGGTGGCCCAAGGAGCAAATGTGGTTTTCGGCGTAGGTGTTGGTTAGGTTTCTCTTGGGGTTCGACCTCCTAGAACCCTAAAGGGAAACCTATGATAGATCCCTATAGTACCCTATGATACCCTTAAAGGGAACCGTATAATAGAACGCTATAGTACCCTTATCGAGCTTTGATTGCTCTTTCAGGATGCAATATGACGCAATCCTTGTTCCACTTCTGCTGCAGACCGCCTGATGCTGGGTGTAGAACCTTTCTTCTCCCTGCTGCTTCTAGGGATATCGGGGGCTGGGTCACGAAGCCTCATCCCATCCAAAGCACGAAACATCTGAGCCCTATAAACCCTAAACCCAAAGCCCAAGCCCTAAAACCTAAACCCTAAACCCTAAGCCCTAAACCCTAAACCCTACGCCCAAGCCGTAAAACCCGAAACCCTAAGCCCTAAACCCTAAACTCTCAGCCCAAGCCCTAAGCCCAAGCCTAAACTTCAGACTGAGCATGTCGACCCCCAGGAAGCAACGGGAAATCCGAAGCTCCCGGTCGCAAGTATAAGAAGAGGATGTCTAATATAGGTGCCTAAATAACTACCGATGCTATTTTGGGGGTTCCTTATTCGAATTATAGTAGAAGATTCCCCGAAACCCTATTCTAATAGTTAAGG